CACTCTATACTTTTTGAGCTATCGTGTTTAAAGACAGAACGACACACACGCAAAACCATAACTTCCTTGGCAGAACCAATTTGCTCACTGGGGCAAAAGTCAGGATGTCATCATAAACAACCTAATCATAGAAATTATGGCCAGTTGTGATACTTAGTAAAGAAACAAAATCTTAATCATGTGGAAAAAATGCCTAAAATCTAATCAGAAAAATCTGAGCTTAGGTGTAACTTGAACCACGTTTCTGACTATCAACAAATGTGGTTTAAATTAAATTTGTGACGATTGATTCCACATTGATTCTTTTCATAATAAAATAAGTTCAAGCCGTAAGGGGAAACTCAATCTGCTGTAATGTTATCAGTGCTGTCTGGATCTGCATAGAGCTGGTATGTCCTCCCTACCTGCGCACGGTCGGCATATAGGGGCTGCAAGCATGTCCGTCCCAGGTGCAGTAGGGGTCCCTGGCCAGGCAGCACTCAGCGCAGGCCTGACCGTACAGCTCACACTGGTAAAGGGCCAGCTGAGACACACCCTCCTTAGAGCCCACAAACAACCACTGCTAGAGGAGAGGGGGTGGGTGAAAGATTGAAATAGAGATGGAAGAGAAAACAATGATGGAGGGGGGGAAGCAGAGACAATGTGGGAGAGCCAGAAGAGAAAAACAAAGGGGCATCAAGTTCACTCCCCTGCAACACGGATACTTTGACAGTCACCAGGAAAAAAAAAGCAGATTCATCTCCACTCTGTGAGTCACAAATCCAACTCAAGCTGTATCAATGTCAGTGGCCACGGAGAGTGTGTGTTTGCATGCGGGGTGGAAAACAGAGAAATGTGAGGATGCTTGCTTTTTATAATCTTCGTGTGTGTGCGAGCTGCGGTTTCGTTTTCTTTTTTTCCCCTCATGCCCACAAACTGTTTTAATAATGCAAGGTGCATTTGTGTGTGAGCATCTCTTCATTACTGCTCTGACTGAGGTGAGGTAACCATGGCAACTGGTGATGAAGCCGTCCTTGGAGACGCAAGGTGGAGAGACGAGTGAGAAGTGCGATGTTACCGTGTGTGAGTGCGGCAGTTTGGAACTTTGAAAGCGAGTCTCGTCTGTTACCTTTTTCTTTGAGAGTGCCATGGCTGTCACCGGTGATTTGTGCTGTGAAGGAGACAGGAAAGGAAAACTGAGAAACACACCAGGTTTATACTGAAACAAAGATAACAGATAGATAGATAGGGTTTTACAAAGCATATACTTTAGAATACAGAGCAGGAAAAACACAGTCAGGTCTGACCACAGATATCTCAGCCACATCCTTCAGGTTGAACCCAAAGTTGTTTTCCTTCATTTTGCTGTTTGAACCCAAAGCGGAGTTCATTCTGGACCAAAATGTGGATTTTGTGAACTGTGATCTTCTCTTTTTTGGTAACTATGTCCAGCTGCAGTAACTTGGTTGAGCATTTATTGAACCTTCTGATTTAAAAATGTTTTTTAATATTAATATACATAAACTAGTTTTAATTTGTATCATATTTGTTCCATCTGAAAATTTTGTTCAGATCATTGCTTAAAAATCTGTTGTGCAATTCATTTAAGATGTAGAAGTCTAAAAAACTCATGCATCAAATATGATACACTAGACATTAAGGGGTTAAATAAAGGTATTTACTGCATTTCATGTAAATATACGCAGTACTTTAGTGGTATAGTATGTGCATAACTATCTTTGCATTAACCAGAGCAGAATGGTGTCTTTGCACGCATGTGTTTTCTTACTGTTGAGAGAATGCATGTATTTCCATTCATTTCCATATGGCATGGACAGATGTGGAATTAGTCACACTGTGTCTGCATGCATTGTTGTCACGCAGGCTAATTTGAAAAGTCTGTGCTGCATTATGTTGTGACAATAATGTACATTTGGATCTGGTTTTGAGAGGTAATTGAATTTTTTTTAATGGAGGAGGAATGAATGGACGCCGGGAAGAAATGCAAAAAAAATGCTTAAAAAACAGAATCAATTCAATCTGCAAACAATGAGCTTTACTACAAAATAGACTAGCTCTTAACAAATCTGAGTTTCTTAAGGTTGCAGCCTGGTTTTCCTCACAGAAAAGCTTGCAGTACCTGAAACACCTGCATCTGCTCCAGAGTGATCTCCTGACTCTGGCCGTGCTCCCTGTGCAGATGGATTGCTTTCATAACGAGTCCTGAGTCTAAAGACAAAAAAATAAAAATAAACAAATCATTCACCATATTTAATTATGAAAAAAAAAACCACTTTAAAATTCCAGAAACACAACCTTCAATGTCACATGACCTACCTGTACCGATGAACAGGACGTCGTAGGTGCCATCGACAGCCTCCACTCTGTCCACCAGCAGTTTGGTGAACTTATAATGAACACCCACCCTGACCAGGAGGGGTCGCTCTCCAAGCGGCAGGACATTTTCCTAAAAAAAGAAAAAAAAGCAAGAATGCATCACATTAAATGTGAAATCTTTGACTAATAAATTTGTTCAGCCAGTCTTGCTATTTATCATTAATACAGCAAAGGTTTCATATTCCCTGTGATGAAGCAGTGCCCTGTTGGCAAGGACTGCTAATTTAATTCCCCATGTTCACTTCAGAATTTAGACAGAAATAGAGAGAAAAAAAATGGCTTGACCTGCTGTAAAATGCGGCAATCTAATTAAGCTAAACTGGCTTAATTTAATAAAGTGAAATATCAGCCAAACCTGCAGCAGCGGATGAGTTCTGCTGAAGAAAATGACGTCGTCGGGATACTCTCTGGTCGAGCTATAGCTTCCATATGTACTGCTCGGACACTGACAAAGAGAGAGAGCGACAGAGACTGAGATCATAATGTTTCCAGTCTTTTGTTTTGAGCATTCTTATATGGAAATTAAGCACAATTTTGCAGAATTAAATGACCCTCCATCAAAGACAGCATATTATTGCAATGTATTACCTTGGTAATAATCACGCATTTGCTTTTAGAGAAATACAAAAAGTCACCTGGAGAGATAGCGGTGGTATCTACCAGTTTTGAGTATGAACTTACTGTTCCTGGCCGTGGATAGGGCACCTTGCCTGTAAATTCTGCCCATTTATACTGAGGCCCCTCCTTATGCAGGAAGTTCCCTTTAAAGGCTCGAACCACATCCTCCATTCGGTAAACACACACCGCTGAACCGTTCAGGATATCACTAAGGAGAAGACAAAAGGAGAGCAGATTCAGACATCAGATATGTCTGAAGCAGAGCATACCTTTGATTACTTTACTTGATATACTGCAAAGGTCTTTAAGCAGTAAATGGAGTACTGTATTAGGAGCTGTGACTCATTGTGGCTTTCCAGCTTGAACGCATCAATTAAATGAATGCGCTCCAACCCAAAATCCAGCCTGGGTGAATGTGCTGCTTTCAGCACATCGGTCCCCACTGTAACACATCCCATCCGCTGCAGTTAAGATCACACATTTCTGGAGGATTTGTGGCAAAGCACGCACGAGCTAGAGATTCCAGCAAAGCAGAAACAGAACAGATAGAAAGGCCATGTTATGATGAATCAGGGGGCTCTTAAGAGGAAGCTTTTTTCTCTCCTCAGTGGTTAGAGGTCTCAGTCTGGTATTCAGATGCCAAATCATACAGAGTACAAAAGTGAACCGTGACGTTGGAAAAAAGCATTCATGTCAGCCTCTAAATTGTGTTTTTACAAGTTGGGGATGTCACCTTTACACTTGTAAATTCTCCTCTTTCCTATTCTGTTTTGTTTATAAGTGGCCTCCTCTGGAAGCTCACCTGCACAAACATTCCTCCACCTGAGCAGACCTCAGTCCCCTGTTGCTTTTTGCGGTTGTGCTTTAATAATTATTAGTTGTGTTGCAAGTTATTGGCAGTGCTGTTAGTTTCATGGAGTGGTTCAACTTTACCAAAGGTGTGCTACCAGGAGTTGAGCTTAGGGTCTAGTTTTAGTTTGGGTCCCGGCCACTTCGCATTGCGAGAATAAATGTGACAACAAGGCTCTCAGTGGGCAAAATCAATTAATCTAATCGGCTGTCTGATACATTATGAATCACAAACAATTAAAAATAAAAGCAGAGAGCAAAATAAAAGCAAAGAACTGTTAACACACTTGCCTTCATCACAGGCATAAAAACCCAGCACGTGTGCGATCGTTACTGTACCAGAGAGACAAGACTCCTTTCAGAAGCAATGACCTTTTTGCTCTTTTCCATTTCTGTGTTTGCGACCGCACCCTTGGTGATGCTTTGGATTTCTGTTCCCTGCTGAGATTCCACACACTTTCCAAAACCCCAAAAAACAGACCAACTCCCTGCTCCGCCATGCCAGATGCCGTCATACTTTTGCTGCTACTGTGGAGCTTTGGCGTCCAGCTCAGAAACTGTGTTATTCTCTGGATATGCAACATGGTCAGTGGAGTAGAGAAAATGAGAAAACGCAGCCTTTTTCTTTTACTTTAATTAGGCTGCTCGCTGGATCATTTTTTACTAGTTTTTCAGACAGAACCTGCTTTTTTCATGTCTGTGTTTTTTCAGCAGACATCTGCGTGAGCTTTTATGAAAGCCTGTCTATTCGGAGAACTGCCTTTTTTAAACTAACAGCCTTTGATGGTCTGAAAGAATATTTTTGCTTCTTCTCTATTATGTCTGACATGTATGCAATTTGTACATTTCCTAGAATTTAACATAGACTTCAACAGAAAGCATATTTCCTGTGGGCTGCTTCATAGTTGCCTTTTTATAAAGGGTATTTATTATTCCTCTTTTCAGTCATGTAAGTTAAACATGGTCAAAAGTTTCAAATAATTCAGGCCAGCATATGTACAAGTGATCCTGCAAGCCTTACTTCTGGCTCTTTGTGACCTCATCGGGAACATATAAATTGGGAGCCAATCAGAAGAAAGTTGGTTGAAAGGCCCTAGAGCATTTGTCCTCAAAAGCATTTTTTTTAACTGTGAGTTATGCAAAGCTTAGCAAAATTTTGTCCTCATGCACTTCTTCCAGTATCTCAAAATTGCCTTTTTGTCTATTTGTGTGTGAAAAAATACAGTAGAGGTCAAGTTGTAACCTTTCTGTAACACAAACACACACACACACAGTTGGACACAGATAAAGAAACTGTGCACTGATGATGACAAGTGTGAAGGCTCATATACGCTCCATGTTGTTCACATGAATGGATGCATTTCATTCATGAGTCACTGTGACATGAGACCCGGCGGGTGGTGTGTATCTCACAGTGTGTGACATCAACATCTGACACGTGGATGTGAAACATGGAGCACTCATATCCTGTCACAGATGCTCTCTTGACTGGCTGTCATCGTGTGTCATCACAGTACAGGACAGTGCAGATGATCATTTATTCAGTATTTGAAGAAAAAAAAACTTTGTACTTTTATTTTCTCCATATTTTAAAACGATTACCACTAAAAAAAAAAAGCTTCTTATATCACACGTGTAAGCTTCTTGTTTTAACTTGTTAAAAATGACATGTTGAGGAGTTACTGTGTGGGTCAACAAGTATTTATCGTTAAAGATCTGATGCTTCTGTCATCTGTTTTTAATTCAGTGTCTGGTTAGTGGTTTGAAATTCTCACTAAAACCTCATCAGCCTCCGCTGTCATCGGCAATTCAATTTACAGCTGGCTTTAAACTGCTTTTAAACCTTTTATTTAAACAATTACAGCAATTCCTGTCTCTGGGGCCCCAAGAAACCCAATGCTTCATAATAAAACTGTCACCAAAAAGTATAACTATGCATACCACGGATCCTATTTCAAAATAAACTATTGACAAATCATCTAATCCTTTTCAAGAAATTGCATTTATCCTGTACATGTTGAGTACACAGTTACTCTTTTCCTCTCTTCCACTCTTTTGCACTCCATTTCCATTCTTTTTTTTTTTGCATGGCTTGATCAATACAGAACTAAATGCTAAGGACTAAAGTCCTTCTAAAACTAGTCCGCCCAGTGTAAAAGTGAAGGGACTCCCTCCCATCTACCACCATATACTGACATTTTCCACACATAAACAAGGGTATGCAGTTTACACACCACCCATTCAAGTTACTCAATTCCCATGATTTCTGCTTTACAGAGGCACATACCTTGAAGTGGTAAACAGGCCGTAGATGAGAGGATTCTTCTTGTCTTTCCCCTGGAGGATGAAGATGTCCTCTGAATGGAGAACATCCAGACATAATGATGAAAGGAAGGGAGGGATAAGGAGAAAGACGGGGAAGGGAAATGGAAGGAGACAAAGACATAAAAATGCTAGTCAGAAAAGATCAGAATGATGTCTGAATTACGGAGAAGTTTGGGAGAGTTACACAGGACTGCATAAACTCTACGTGTCTGTATTCATGTGAGCAATGCTCATGAGTCTGTGTAGCAGTCTATTTTCTTTATTTGTGTGAGTGTGTGTTCAGTTTTAGGTACTTTGTATTCATTATGTGTATGCCCGTGTGCGTATCTGAGTGTGTGCATCTATCAGTCTGACTGTGTGACTAATAGCGTCGGGCATGCTGGCAGCATGGCTGACTGGCTGCTTGTAATGAATCTGTAGCCATTAATAACCAGCCGCAGTGGGAGAGCCGAGCGCTCCGTCCGCCACAGGAACATAACACCTGCTGTCACACACACTAACACCACACCTCGGTCTCCACTCGTCATTTCAAACACAGCGGATCTCACACACACACACACATTTGATATGTTTTTCTCACTTTGGCGTCTCTCTGATAGTGATCCGCTCATGCAGCGCAATCAGGTGTAGTGCGGATTTGTTTTTTTTAGCTCTTTCCATCTGTCTGCCTTCGACACCTGATAGCTCAGCGGCCATCACACCGCATTTGAATACAGCAGGTAAAACTGTGGGATCTTTTTTTTTTAATGAACTTGTAGATTTAAGTTCAAATACTAAAAGTATCCTCAGAAGTGTTAAGGAAAAAAGGAAAAGAAAAAGTGGGGCAGCTGTGGCCCCATCTACTAATGGGAAGGTCAGCGGTTTGATCCCTAGGCTCCTCTGGTGTCCTCGTGTCAAAGTGGCCTCGGGCAAGACTGAACTGCAAATTGCCTCTGATGTTTTCATCGGAGTGTGAGTGAGTGTGTGATAGTTAGAAAGTGATTAACTGTTTTGTTTGTATCTTGTGTTCCCATCAGATTCAATGTAAGTCCATGAAAAAGGTTACAAATACTTTTTGGAGGTCCAAAAAGATACTGTGTGTATGATAAAGAAATAAAGCGACTCTGTGAGTACAGCTCAGGAGTGTAAGGCTGGCAGATTCCCAACTCCTCCAGCCTGAGTATGGAAGTTTTCTTTGGAAATATGCTGAACCGTAAAAAACTGCCGTATCATCACTTTGTGACAGTAAAGGTGCTGAATGTATAGCATAAAAAGCAAATGGGTCAATACATCTTGAGTTGTGAAGCACTTTACCACAACGCTCACAACTCTGATTCATGGGGGAGTAAAATGGGAACGAACTGATGTGACATGAACTCACAATCAAATAAAACAGACTGGTAATAAAAGGCCCACAACTGTGAACACATATAGACTGACAATGGAAACATTGTGTCTCGTATGAAGTGGTTCAATACTGAAACCTGTGGTTCAATACTGACAAATTGTGATAAAACATAAAAAAAAAAAACACACATTAAAAAAATAATTAATGTTCCTGAAAGTTGTGCACAGTTTGACTTTTTTGCCTCCCATATTTCCACTTTTGTTCATCGTTGTGTTATTCAGTTGCCTCCACTTGCAGCTCACACTAGACCTTGGCTTTCACAGTTTATTTAAATCAGAATAAATCAAAGGTTTTCTGTTCTGCACTTTTGTCTCAGATAAGAGCAGGGAATGTTTTATCATCCCATCGAAATGGAGGAGAATGGAGCCCTTTGTTTTCCGTGCAACACGCTGTGATAATCTATAAATACATGACTCCTAGGGCTCCTTTCTTTTTGCTTCCTACTTTTGTGGCAAATAGCTTTAAAAGTTCCCGAAACTCTACAAACAGGTTCGACCCAAGGAGTACTCAATGAGTGCCCCGTATGTCTCTGCTTTTATTCTTCTCCTCTCCCATGCAGAGGCAGATATGTTGTTGTGGTGCTGGAGACGACGAAGCGTATCAATGTTCCCACATTCCTGCCGTTCCTGCTGCTTCAGGTGGCCTCCGTGGAACTACGGCCCTGCAGGAAGGCTAATCTCATCTCGACACAGCTACACACACTTGCAGCTGCCACACACAGTGGCAGATTTAGGAGCACGCAAAGACAAATAAAGGCATGTATAGCCACATTCATGCACCCACACAAACCAAATTGTTAAACTGCAGGGAGCAAGGAACATTGACTCAAACTCGCATGGTACCGATAGACACACAAACACCCACACAGGCCCCTCAGGATAGGGAACAGAAGAGTATGGGTAGTCTGCTGCCTCCAGCGTACCAATTGCTCACTCCTTCTTCCCTTTAATATATCACTTCTTTGTTATTGCATTTTATTTACTGCTTCTTTGAGCTCTTCCTGCCTTTAAATCACAATGTAGATGCCCCCATTTGTGTTATCACTCCTTTTACCTCTGTTCCTGTTTCCTATCACTCCCTAATTCTACTCATATCATCCCTCCATCTTTCTTAACAGCCTCTTCTCCACTTTCCAATCATTTGTTCGAGCTTATCTTCTGCTCTCACATCTTCCAAAGAATGCCTTTCATTAATCAAAACCTTTATCATCTGTTGGTTTACTTTGCGTCTCTATGTCTACCTGTTTTTCTTTTATGGCCTTCATGCATTATTACTCTGGATGATGTATATCCTGAGTACACTTTCATCTGAAGCTCCTCGAAGTTTTGTTCAAAGAAGAGATGAGTCAGACTAAAAAAGAAGGGCATTGTAAGATGCACATCTACACCCACAGAGCTCAATTTTATAGTCACACAGCCACCCTGGTGGAACCCTTCTGAGTGCAGATGAAAGGCCCTTTAAAACCTAGTGGAAACAAGTTTACCAGGTGATGGGATTGCAGTCAAACAGAGCAAAGAACAGATGAAACTCATCTGGAAGTGCAGCCAAGCTGGCATTGGACTTGTAGTTAGATACACCACATTTGGACAGAACAATACTTGGCCTTGTTAAAGACTAATGCACTACTGCATGAAAAATGCTTTTAATGTTGTAATCTAATGTAATTACATTAGGCTTCAGTCACACAGGTCTATTGGTCAAAAGAGGTAGACGGTGCTCCACTCAAAACCTCTGTGTGATTGGCCTGGTTGCTAGCAGATTGCCCACAGTTCAGTCGCCTATAGTTTGTACCCTGACTTGTCTGTCAGTAGTTAGCATTTTTGCTAATCACTAATAAACGACACCAAACAACTATCCCACAGCAACTTGCCAACTGGTGCGGGAATATGCATTTTTCCCTAGCAACCGTAGTTACTAGGGAGTCAGCCCTGTGCACTGGGGCTTTAGCAATCGATTTCTCCAGCAACCACTCGCAACATTTTTCTGTAGCGACTGGTGGTTGCCAGACGATGCCCAAGCTGAGCATAAAAAGTGTAAAAAGTGAAGTATTTCAGAGTCAGTTTCAAGCCAAATAAGAATTGTTTTCCAAGCCAAGACCAGTAAATGTATAAAAGACTTACTAACATCAGCATGCTAACATGGGGTCAAGTGAGATTAGGTAGATTTGACATGCTAACGTCCACTTGTTAGCACAATACCTAAACTAGTTTTGAAGGTATTGAGTGAAAAAGTGCTGGAAAAAGAAACATGATTGATTCCTGTTGATTGCATGACAAGAAGTTAGAGGTTCATCAGAGTTGTTCAAAGGGAAGGTACGAATGGCTGCACCAGATTTCAAGGCACTAGACTGATTTCACAGAAGCCATTTTGAAATACAATATGTAAACAAATTCGGTTCACCTAAACAGGCAAGAAACTTTATTAACGTAGTTAGTAACACATGTGTATGTATGCTGTTTCAGGACAAACTGACTGCCATGAAATATGCTTATTTAGGATTTGTTACTGCTATGTATAATTAAAACCTGACATATTTCAGTGTGGATCAAAAATGATCAAAACAGCAGGTCTGGCTAGCATCCACAGAGCTGCATCTCCAAACAATGCTCCAACTATTATGAATGTAAGAAAGAACAAAGGTTTCCAATTGAGGAAAAAAATCCCAATTTACTTTGTGGTATTTTAAGACAGGTAAAAATGAGGCCACACAGCACGTAAAAGTAAATACATGCATTTTTTTGTTCTGAGTAAACTTAATACAAACTCTGGTAAAACCCTGCAGGGGAAAAACTCTGAATCTTTGCCTTCTGCTCGAAAGTTAGTCTCCCTTTCTTCTTTGCACCTCAGTGTACATGCAGCTTCACATAAAAATGCAGTTCAAATTTAGAAGACGCAGCCAGCGGAACATTTTTCTTTCTTACACACTTTGAACAAGACGTCTTAGTTATTTACGGCTCAGCTTGGCAAAACTTCACTCTTATCGCTCCGTGACGAGTTTAAACCTCGACTGATTCAGTGCTGTTCCACCTACATCCCTCGCATGTTTGATTTAGTAAACTGGAGTGGCTTCTAATGTCATTAATCTTTAATAGAGGAGGGATAACGCAACACTCAGACATGCATTAATCACAAATATAGTGCAGAAAATATGAGGTCACTCTGCTTCTATCTGCAAGACGGGCTGACCAGGTGAGAGTGTTTGACCGCTGAAGCAAGAAAGAGTGTTTATTTGGTTTTTTGCTCATGTTACAGTTAAAGACGACAGATTCATGGCTTCTTATCTTTTTTTTAAGCACAGCTTCTTTACTCTTTCAGCCTCGACCACTATCTTACACTCCAAGATGTTTTCTTTTTGTCTCCACCTGAATCATCTTCTCTCCTTTTTCTTTCCATCTCTTTATCTTTTTATTCGTTTTCTCATCCCGTGCTCCTTTCTGCTCAAATCCAGCTGGACTTCCCGGGAGCCCTCTGGGTGTATCTCGTTCTCTTTGTTTCTCACTTTCGCTGTCCCTCCCAGTCTCCATCCCTCCCTCCCGCTATCTCTTCTTCCCTCTGTCCCCCCGTCCATCTGTCTGTCTGGCCTATTTTCTCTGGAGGATTGTTCTTGTGTCTTCTTCTCTAAACAAAACAAGGCTGTTTTTCCCC